CCTTATTAGTTTAGGACATAAGATTTGAGACTTAATGAAACAGAATATAACATGTCCTCCTAAATCGATAAAGTTCAAATCTGCCTTATTAGTTTAGGACATAAGATTTGAGACTTAAAGAAACAGAATATAACATGTCCTCCTAAATCGATAAAGTTCAAATCTGCCTTATTAGTTTAGGACATAAGATTTGAGACTTAAAGAACATGTCCTCCTAAAGCGATAAAGTTCAAATCTGCCTTATTAGTTTAGGACATAAGATTTGAGTCTTAAAGAAACAGAATATAACATGTCCTCCTAAAGCGATAAAGTTCAAATCTGCCTTATTAGTTTAGGACATAAGATTTGAGACTTAAAGAAACAGAATATAACATGTCCTCCTAAAGCGATAAAGTTCAAATCTGCCTTATTAGTTTAGGACATAAGATTTGAGACTTAAAGAAACAGAATATAACATGTCCTCCTAAATCGATAAAGTTCAAAACTGCCTTATTAGTTTAGGACATAAGATTTGAGACTTAAAGAAACAGAATATAACATGTCCTCCTAAAGCGATAAAGTTCAAATCTGCCTTATTAGTTTAGGACATAAGATTTGAGACTTAAAGAAACAGAATATAACATGTCCTCCTAAATCGATAAAGTTCAAATCTGCCTTATTAGTTTAGGACATAAGATTTGAGACTTAAAGAAACAGAATATAACATGTCCTCTTAAATCGATAAAGTTCAAATCTGCCTTATTAGTTTAGGACATAAGATTTGAGACTTAAAGAAACAGAATATAACATGTCCTCCTAAATCGATAAAGTTCAAAACTGCCTTATTAGTTTAGGACATAAGATTTGAGACTTAAAGAAACAGAATATAACATGTCCTCCTAAAGCGATAAAGTTCAAATCTGCCTTATTAGTTTAGGACATAAGATTTGAGACTTAAAGAAACAGAATATAACATGTCCTCCTAAATCGATAAAGTTCAAATCTGCCTTATTAGTTTAGGACATAAGATTTGAGACTTAAAGAAACAGAATATAACATGTCCTCTTAAATCGATAAAGTTCAAATCTGCCTTATTAGTTTAGGACATAAGATTTGAGACTTAAAGAAACAGAATATAACATGTCCTCCTAAAGCGATAAAGTTCAAATCTGCCTTATTAGTTTAGGACATAAGATTTGAGACTTAAAGAAACAGAATATAACATGTCCTCTTAAATCGATAAAGTTCAAATCTGCCTTATTAGTTTAGGACATAAGATTTGAGACTTAAAGAAACAGAATATAACATGTCCTCTTAAATCGATAAAGTTCAAATCTGCCTTATTAGTTTAGGACATAAGATTTGAGACTTAAAGAAACAGAATATAACATGTCCTCCTAAAGCGATAAAGTTCAAATCTGCCTTATTAGTTTAGGACATAAGATTTGAGTCTTAAAGAAACAGAATATAACATGTCCTCCTAAATCGATAAAGTTCAAATCTGCCTTATTAGTTTAGGACATAAGATTTGAGACTTAAAGAAACAGAATATAACATGTCCTCCTAAAGCGATAAAGTTCAAATCTGCCTTATTAGTTTAGGACATAAGATTTGAGACTTAAAGAAACAGAATATAACATGTCCTCCTAAAGCGATAAAGTTCAAATCTGCCTTATTAGTTTAGGACATAAGATTTGAGACTTAAAGAAACAGAATATAACATGTCCTCCTAAATCGATAAAGTTCAAATCTGCCTTATTAGTTTAGGACATAAGATTTGAGACTTAAAGAAACAGAATATAACATGTCCTCCTAAAGCGATAAAGTTCAAATCTGCCTTATTAGTTTAGGACATAAGATTTGAGACTTAAAGAAACAGAATATAACATGTCCTCCTAAATCGATAAAGTTCAAAACTGCCTTATTAGTTTAGGACATAAGATTTGAGACTTAAAGAAACAGAATATAACATGTCCTCCTAAAGCGATAAAGTTCAAATCTGCCTTATTAGTTTAGGACATAAGATTTGAGACTTAAAGAAACAGAATATAACATGTCCTCCTAAATCGATAAAGTTCAAATCTGCCTTATTAGTTTAGGACATAAGATTTGAGACTTAAAGAAACAGAATATAACATGTCCTCTTAAATCGATAAAGTTCAAATCTGCCTTATTAGTTTAGGACATAAGATTTGAGACTTAAAGAAACAGAATATAACATGTCCTCCTAAAGCGATAAAGTTCAAATCTGCCTTATTAGTTTAGGACATAAGATTTGAGACTTAAAGAAACAGAATATAACATGTCCTCTTAAATCGATAAAGTTCAAATCTGCCTTATTAGTTTAGGACATAAGATTTGAGACTTAAAGAAACAGAATATAACATGTCCTCTTAAATCGATAAAGTTCAAATCTGCCTTATTAGTTTAGGACATAAGATTTGAGACTTAAAGAAACAGAATATAACATGTCCTCCTAAAGCGATAAAGTTCAAATCTGCCTTATTAGTTTAGGACATAAGATTTGAGTCTTAAAGAAACAGAATATAACATGTCCTCCTAAATCGATAAAGTTCAAATCTGCCTTATTAGTTTAGGACATAAGATTTGAGACTTAAAGAAACAGAATATAACATGTCCTCCTAAAGCGATAAAGTTCAAATCTGCCTTATTAGTTTAGGACATAAGATTTGAGACTTAAAGAAACAGAATATAACATGTCCTCCTAAAGCGATAAAGTTCAAATCTGCCTTATTAGTTTAGGACATAAGATTTGAGACTTAAAGAAACAGAATATAACATGTCCTCCTGTCATAGTTAAGAAAAATTATTTAACGCCCATTTTGAATGCCCCATAAAAGGCGAGAAAGAACTGGCCAAATAAGTTCATTCGCCCAATCTCAAGTCCGACCAAAAGTTGGCCGGTTCTTTCTCCCTTATTTACTTAAATATATTTGTTGAATAAAAAGGTTAAAAAGAAAGCTTTCCTTTAAATCTGGTGGATCGGCGCGCCCCAAGGGTGGGTTACCACTCTTGGGGCCCAACGCCGACTAACCCCCTGAAAAAGGGGTTAGGATAATAATATGGTGCTCCCAAGAAATTCTTTATCTCCACCCAAAAATATCCATATTTCCCCACCTTGATTAAAAAAAAAATTATTTTCTAAAAATATTCAAAAAATATTTTATTTAAAAAAAAACTTATTCCTTTTTGTCATCAATCAAATTATTCGGCGAAGAAAAAATTTTTTTGTTTATTAAACTAAAAATTCTTTTTTTGATTATTAAACTAAATTTTTTTCTTCTTCAATTTCTTGTGATCTTGTGGCCGGAAATTGGCAAATATGAAGGAAAAAGGAAAAACGCCTAAAAATGTTACAACTCAAATTCGCCAAATTGTAGTTTTTTTTGGCGAGTCAATCTTTTATTTGGGCGTGATCATGCGCTCAAATGAAAGAAAAATTCCCATAAATATGAACAAATCGGTCACCAATTCGGATCATTTGATCAAGAAGAGCCTCAAACAAGCAGTCAACACTAGAAGAGCCTAAAGAAGAGCCAGAATAATTTTGGAAAAAAAAGGAAACCAGTGGACCGAGGAAGCTTTGACAAACAATAGTCAATCAAAGTTTTAAATATTTGGATTTTTAAACTTTGATTCGGCTGATCTTGTTGGTTTGACTGAGCTTTGAGTTGGTTGATCTGTTTTGACTGGCTTTGAGTGGGCTGATCTGGTTTGGCTGAGCTTTGATTTGGCTGATCTGATTTGGGGGCTGAGTGATTGATTTGGCTAATCTCCATTTTCAGCGATTTGGCTGATCCTTGGTTGTTGATTGAGTTGGCTGATCTGATTGACTGAGGCTGATCTGATTTGAGTTGATTAATTTGTTTTGGCCGATCCCTATTGGGGGCTGTTTTTTGGCTGATTTTTTTGGCGCATCTTGGATTTTCTATAGGGAGGCACCTGATTTTTCTGATTTGCTGACCTTTCGCTGTTGCTGATCTCGATTGGATTTTCTGAAGGGGAACCAGTTGATCTTGATTTGATTGAGCTGATTTTTAATTTTATTTGACGATTCTTGGATTAAAGCATTCTGAAGTTTGCGGTTGTTGCTGAAGCTGAGGTTGGAAAAAGAGAAAAATTTTCGAAAACCATTGAACAGGAGAAAAGATTTTGGATTTTGTGGAAGGAAGCCGCTTAATCGTCAAAGTTCTGAACTCGAATTCTTATAGACGAGCCTCTAAATTTTAAAAGTGCCTCGGAATTGAATTTGAAACGTGCACGTTAAAAAGAATTAAAGAAAATTTTGATTAAAAAAAAATAAAAGAATCCCGAATCCCTGCCTGGCAGTTTAGTGGACTAACTCGGCCGGTTGTCTACTAAATCCCGTATTAAGGGCAAAAAGCTAGCTATAAAAAAAGAGAGAAAAGAAAAGAAGAATAAAAATTAAAGTGTTAGGTAAATTTGGGAACTAAATAAAATTAAAAGAAAAATCTGAGGGCTTGTTTGAGATTGAAGAGCTTGCAATGAAGGATGAGAAAAACCCAGAACTTGGAATGGAAAGGAAAAATATCGAAGCTAACAGCGGCGGAAATGTTTTGGGACTACCATATCCTAAAACCTATGATGGTTCAGAAGATTTTGTTTCTTATCTGAAGACTTTCAATCGGGTAGCTACAGCTCACGGATGGATGCCGGCAAGATGTGCGCAAATTTTGCCGCTCTATTTAACGGGCTCAGCTTTGGCGATATATGAAGGAATACCAGATAGGGAGAAAAATTCCTGGAAGGTACTTGTTGAAGGCTTAGCCAGCAGATTGAGAAGGACGTCAACTAAAGAGATGGCTCTTGTGAAGCTGGCTGAAAGAAGGCAGGAATTTGGAGAATCACTGGAGGAATTTTCCAATGATTTGAAAAATCTGGTAGAACGAGCTTATCCAGATGCGTCATTTGAACTGAATATTTCAGCAATTAAATTAGATGATAATCAGAAAAAGAATTTGAAAATCGAGAACGAAAAAATGGCCAAAAGATTCAGAGAGGAAATCTGCCTGGAAAGATTTAAATATGGTCTGTTGCCGGAAATTAGGGAGAAAATCATCTTTATGAAAGTACCCTCTTCATTGGCAGAAGCTGTGTCGCAAGCGAGAAGAGTGGAAGAGTTAAATTTAACAATTAAAGCGGATACTTGGAAAAGAATGGAGGAAATAGAGGTTAATGCGGCGCTAGCGGAAGTTAATGAAGTAGGTGAGATAAATGCAGATCCGGATAATGACTGGGGCGAGGAACAGATTGACCCAAATTTTGGCCCATACTATGATGAATATTATAATGACCATGACCAATATTATGACCATGAGCAAAATTATGTCGATGAAGAATGCCAATGGATGCCAAATGAAAATAATGAGTATTGGGGAGAGGAAGAGTATCAAGATCAATTTGGCAATGATTGTTGTCTCGATGATCAAGGTGATCAATACTGGCCCACAGATCAAATGAGATTTGATGACTATTGAGGAATTTAAAAAAAATACTTGGTGATGGTTCTAAAACTAAATTTTTGTGTTATTCTTATTTCTCTGTTGCCCCCCCCCCAGGAGAGGAAGAAAAGTGGATTTTGGCCTTTATTTTAACCCAACCCTGAGACATTTTCTGGATGAACGCCCTGTTGCTATATATTTTTCGATTTTCACTAAAATTTTCTTACCTCCTGCTTTATTATTACTGATCCAATACATAAAATTTGCCGCCGACTAAAACATACAGTGTAGGAATTTGGTGAAGAAAAGCGACGTTTGGCGCGATAAGATTTGATTGGTAAAGAGAATGAAAGTGAAAAAATTGAGATGATTAAATTTATGAGGAAGAATATTGCAACAGAAAGATAAATAAATTTAAAAAAAAAAAAACAATAAAGATAATATTTCCCACACTTTTTTGCCATATCCGCTTCTCCTGTTGTATCCCCCACCCCCCGCGTATAGAATGTCATAGTTAAGAAAAATTATTTAACGCCCATTTTGAATGCCCCATAAAAGGCGAGAAAGAACTGGCCAAATAAGTTCATTCGCCCAATCTCAAGTCCGACCAAAAGTTGGCCGGTTCTTTCTCCCTTATTTACTTAAATATATTTGTTGAATAAAAAGGTTAAAAAGAAAGCTTTCCTTTAAATCTGGTGGATCGGCGCGCCCCAAGGGTGGGTTACCACTCTTGGGGCCCAACGCCGACTAACCCCCTGAAAAAGGGGTTAGGATAATAATACCTCCTAAATCGATAAAGTTCAAATCTGCCTTATTAGTTTAGGACATAAGATTTGAGACTTAAAGAAACAGAATATAACATGTCCTCTTAAATCGATAAAGTTCAAATCTGCCTTATTAGTTTAGGACATAAGATTTGAGACTTAAAGAAACAGAATATAACATGTCCTCCTAAAGCGATAAAGTTCAAATCTGCCTTATTAGTTTAGGACATAAGATTTGAGACTTAAAGAAACAGAATATAACATGTCCTCCTAAAGCGATAAAGTTCAAATCTGCCTTATTAGTTTAGGACATAAGATTTGAGACTTAAAGAAACAGAATATAACATGTCCTCCTAAAGCGATAAAGTTCAAATCTGCCTTATTAGTTTAGGACATAAGATTTGAGTCTTAAAGAAACAGAATATAACATGTCCTCCTAAAGCGATAAAGTTCAAATCTGCCTTATTAGTGTTAGGTATGTGTGGGTCTAGTATAAAAGGAGTCGTTAGCGATCAGTCTTGGTCGACACCTGGGTCGACCGGCGCCGTCTGTCCTTCATCATTCTTGCCTTTTGCCACCTTCACTATTATTGTATTTAGTCTTGTAGATAAAACACAGTCGTTAGTTACTGTCTTATCTTGTTATTCTTGTTAGTACGTAGACATGCAAGTCACGTACGTAACAGTGGCGCGGTCGCAGTCGTGAATCATTGATTCACAATTCGGACAATTATTCGGATTATTCAAATTCGGGGGAAGTATTCGGATTATTCGGAGATTCGCAGAGCACATCAGATTCTTATTCAAAGGAGACGGCGTCAGTGAAGTGTGGCAGGCATTCAAGCCGATCGAATTCATCTATTCGACAAGGCCTAGCAAACCTTAGTCAATTCTAGTCAAGTTTAGATAGAACACAGTTGGTGTTAAAGATTGTAGATTTTATTCGGACCAATTCGAGTTTTGAGAAGTTAGTTTAATTATTCGGTCCAGAAGTTTGGTATTTTGTTGAAAAGATTATTCGATGAATTCGAGCTTGATCATCAGGAGCAGAGTGAAGGAGCAAGTTGTATTCAGTATTTTGATTATATGAGGAACCGCAGTCATGGGCAAGATGTAAGTCCCGATTATTTGTTTATTCAAGGCCGCAATGAGTAAGTCGGTCAAGTGGACGTAAGACGGTCAAGTATTATTCAGGTCTGAGTCAATTATTAGTCGCTCCAAAGAAGTTAGTAGACAAATTTTATTATTCGCTCCATTGATGAATTCCTATGGCATTATTCAGTTTGATTGAGAAATTATTCGGCTATTCAATAGATAATGAGATTATTCAAATGCCATATTCAGTTTTCGCCCAAGTAGTAGAAAGTAGGGCAGTATTATTCAGGGAATTAGTGAAAATCCCTACCCAGAGTTGGGTTTATTCAGAGTATTCGATGTGCCTCTGCTTGGTTTGATGTTAGAAGATAGTAGATGTTGATGAGATGTTATGGGACATTTGTGATAATTGTGATTTTTTGTTTGTTTGTTGCAAATTTTTTTTTTGTTGTTTTGTTTTCCCCCAAAAGTTTTGTAATTTTTGTCCCATTTGTATTCAAGGCGGTGTCATTCTGTTATTCGATTCGAGGAATTATTCAATTCGGACCCAACCTAACTATTCTATTCAGCAGCAAATTATTCAAGTTAGTCCCTAACTTTTTTAAAGGAGGGAGATGTTAGGTATGTGTGGGTCTAGTATAAAAGGAGTCGTTAGCGATCAGTCTTGGTCGACACCTGGGTCGACCGGCGCCGTCTGTCCTTCATCATTCTTGCCTTTTGCCACCTTCACTATTATTGTATTTAGTCTTGTAGATAAAACACAGTCGTTAGTTACTGTCTTATCTTGTTATTCTTGTTAGTACGTAGACATGCAAGTCACGTACGTAACAATTAGTTTAGGACATAAGATTTGAGACTTAAAGAAACAGAATATAACATGTCCTCCTAAATCGATAAAGTTCAAATCTGCCTTATTAGTTTAGGACATAAGATTTGAGACTTAAAGAACATGTCCTCCTAAAGCGATAAAGTTCAAATCTGCCTTATTAGTTTAGGACATAAGATTTGAGTCTTAAAGAAACAGAATATAACATGTCCTCCTAAAGCGATAAAGTTCAAATCTGCCTTATTAGTTTAGGACATAAGATTTGAGACTTAAAGAAACAGAATATAACATGTCCTCCTAAAGCGATAAAGTTCAAATCTGCCTTATTAGTTTAGGACATAAGATTTGAGACTTAAAGAAACAGAATATAACATGTCCTCCTAAAGCGATAAAGTTCAAATCTGCCTTATTAGTTTAGGACATAAGATTTGAGACTTAAAGAAACAGAATATAACATGTCCTCCTAAATCGATAAAGTTCAAAACTGCCTTATTAGTTTAGGACATAAGATTTGAGACTTAAAGAAACAGAATATAACATGTCCTCCTAAATCGATAAAGTTCAAATCTGCCTTATTAGTTTAGGACATAAGATTTGAGACTTAAAGAAACAGAATATAACATGTCCTCCTAAAGCGATAAAGTTCAAATCTGCCTAATTAGTTTAGGACATAAGATTTGAGACTTAAAGAAACAGAATATAACATGTCCTCCTAAAGCGATAAAGTTCAAATCTGCCTAATTAGTTTAGGACATAAGATTTGAGACTTAAAGAAACAGAATATAACATGTCCTCCTAAATCGATAAAGTTCAAATCTGCCTTATTAGTTTAGGACATAAGATTTGAGACTTAAAGAAACAGAATATAACATGTCTCCTAAAGCGATAAAGTTCAAATCTGCCTTATTAGTTTAGGACATAAGATTTGAGACTTAAAGAAACAGAATATAACATGTCCTCCTAAAGCGATAAAGTTCAAATCTGCCTTATTAGTTTAGGACATAAGATTTGAGACTTAAAGAAACAGAATATAACATGTCCTCCTAAAGCGATAAAGTTCAAATCTGCCTTATTAGTTTAGGACATAAGATTTGAGACTTAATGAAACAGAATATAACATGTCCTCCTAAATCGATAAAGTTCAAATCTGCCTTATTAGTTTAGGACATAAGATTTGAGACTTAAAGAAACAGAATATAACATGTCCTCCTAAATCGATAAAGTTCAAATCTGCCTTATTAGTTTAGGACATAAGATTTGAGACTTAAAGAAACAGAATATAACATGTCCTCCTAAATCGATAAAGTTCAAATCTGCCTTATTAGTTTAGGACTTAAGATTTGAGACTTAAAGAAACAGAATATAACATGTCCTCCTAAAGCGATAAAGTTCAAATCTGCCTTATTAGTTTAGGACATAAGATTTGAGACTTAAAGAAACAGAATATAACATGTCCTCCTAAAGCGATAAAGTTCAAATCTGCCTTATTAGTTTAGGACATAAGATTTGAGTCTTAAAGAAACAGAATATAACATGTCCTCCTAAAGCGATAAAGTTCAAATCTGCCTTATTAGTTTAGGACATAAGATTTGAGACTTAAAGAAACAGAATATAACATGTCCTCCTAAATCGATAAAGTTCAAATCTGCCTTATTAGTTTAGGACATAAGATTTGAGACTTAAAGAAACAGAATATAACATGTCCTACTAAATCGATAAAGTTCAAATCTGCCTTATTAGTTTAGGACATAAGATTTGAGACTTAAAGAAACAGAATATAACATGTCCTCCTAAAGCGATAAAGTTCAAATCTGCCTTATTAGTTTAGGACATAAGATTTGAGTCTTAAAGAAACAGAATATAACATGTCCTCCTAAAGCGATAAAGTTCAAATCTGCCTTATTAGTTTAGGACATAAGATTTGAGACTTAAAGAAACAGAATATAACATGTCCTCCTAAAGCGATAAAGTTCAAATCTGCCTTATTAGTTTAGGACATAAGATTTTAGACTTAAAGAAACAGAATATAACATGTCCTCCTAAATCGATAAAGTTCAAATCTGCCTTATTAGTTTAGGACATAAGATTTGAGACTTAAAGAAACAGAATATAACATGTCCTCCTAAATCGATAAAGTTCAAATCTGCCTTATTAGTTTAGGACATAAGATTTGAGACTTAAAGAAACAGAATATAACATGTCCTCCTAAAGCGATAAAGTTCAAATCTGCCTTATTAGTTTAGGACATAAGATTTGAGACTTAAAGAAACAGAATATAACATGTCCTCCTAAATCGATAAAGTTCAAATCTGCCTTATTATTTTAGGACATAAGATTTGAGTCTTAAAGAAACAGAATATAACATGTCCTCCTAAAGCGATAAAGTTCAAATCTGCCTTATTAGTTTAGGACATAAGATTTGAGTCTTAAAGAAACAGAATATAACATGTCCTCCTAAAGCGATAAAGTTCAAATCTGCCTTATTAGTTTAGGACATAAGATTTGAGTCTTAAAGAAACAGAATATAACATGTCCTCCTAAATCGATAAAGTTCAAATCTGCCTTATTAGTTTAGGACATAAGATTTGAGACTTAAAGAAACAGAATATAACATGTCCTCCTAAAGCGATAAAGTTCAAATCTGCCTTATTAGTTTAGAACATAAGATTTGAGACTTAAAGAAACAGAATATAACATGTCCTCCTAAAGCGATAAAGTTCAAATCTGCCTTATTAGTTTAGGACATAAGATTTGAGTCTTAAAGAAACAGAATATAACATGTCCTCCTAAAGCGATAAAGTTCAAATCTGCCTTATTAGTTTAGGACATAAGATTTGAGACTTAAAGAAACAGAATATAACATGTCCTCCTAAAGCGATAAAGTTCAAATCTGCCTTATTAGTTTAGGACATAAGATTTTAGACTTAAAGAAACAGAATATAACATGTCCTCCTAAATCGATAAAGTTCAAATCTGCCTTATTAGTTTAGGACATAAGATTTGAGACTTAAAGAAACAGAATATAACATGTCCTCCTAAATCGATAAAGTTCAAATCTGCCTTATTAGTTTAGGACATAAGATTTGAGACTTAAAGAAACAGAATATAACATGTCCTCCTAAAGCGATAAAGTTCAAATCTGCCTTATTAGTTTAGGACATAAGATTTGAGACTTAAAGAAACAGAATATAACATGTCCTCCTAAATCGATAAAGTTCAAATCTGCCTTATTAGTTTAGGACATAAGATTTGAGTCTTAAAGAAACAGAATATAACATGTCCTCCTAAAGCGATAAAGTTCAAATCTGCCTTATTAGTTTAGGACATAAGATTTGAGTCTTAAAGAAACAGAATATAACATGTCCTCCTAAAGCGATAAAGTTCAAATCTGCCTTATTAGTTTAGGACATAAGATTTGAGTCTTAAAGAAACAGAATATAACATGTCCTCCTAAATCGATAAAGTTCAAATCTGCCTTATTAGTTTAGGACATAAGATTTGAGACTTAAAGAAACAGAATATAACATGTCCTCCTAAAGCGATAAAGTTCAAATCTGCCTTATTAGTTTAGAACATAAGATTTGAGACTTAAAGAAACAGAATATAACATGTCCTCCTAAATCGATAAAGTTCAAATCTGCCTTATTAGTTTAGGACATAAGATTTGAGTCTTAAAGAAACAGAATATAACATGTCCTCCTAAAGCGATAAAGTTCAAATCTGCCTTATTAGTTTAGGACATAAGATTTGAGACTTAAAGAAACAGAATATAACATGTCCTCCTAAATCGATAAAGTTCAAATCTGCCTTATTAGTTTAGGACATAAGATTTGAGACTTAAAGAAACAGAATATAACATGTCCTCCTAAAGCGATAAAGTTCAAATCTGCCTTATTAGTTTAGGACATAAGATTTGAGACTTAAAGAAACAGAATATAACATGTCCTCTTAAATCGATAAAGTTCAAATCTGCCTTATTAGTTTAGGACATAAGATTTGAGACTTAAAGAAACAGAATATAACATGTCCTCTTAAATCGATAAAGTTCAAATCTGCCTTATTAGTTTAGGACATAAGATTTGAGACTTAAAGAAACAGAATATAACATGTCCTCCTAAAGCGATAAAGTTCAAATCTGCCTTATTAGTTTAGGACATAAGATTTGAGACTTAAAGAAACAGAATATAACATGTCCTCCTAAAGCGATAAAGTTCAAATCTGCCTTATTAGTTTAGGACATAAGATTTGAGACTTAAAGAAACAGAATATAACATGTCCTCCTAAAGCGATAAAGTTCAAATCTGCCTTATTAGTTTAGGACATAAGATTTGAGTCTTAAAGAAACAGAATATAACATGTCCTCCTAAAGCGATAAAGTTCAAATCTGCCTTATTAGTTTAGGACATAAGATTTGAGACTTAAAGAAACAGAATATAACATGTCCTCCTAAATCGATAAAGTTCAAATCTGCCTTATTAGTTTAGGACATAAGATTTGAGACTTAAAGAAACAGAATATAACATGTCCTCCTAAAGCGATAAAGTTCAAATCTGCCTTATTAGTTTAGGACATAAGATTTGAGACTTAAAGAAACAGAATATAACATGTCCTCCTAAATCGATAAAGTTCAAATCTGCCTTATTAGTTTAGGACATAAGATTTGAGACTTAAAGAAACAGAATATAACATATCCTCCTAAATCGATAAAGTTCAAATCTGCCTTATTAGTTTAGGACATAAGATTTGAGACTTAAAGAAACAGAATATAACATGTCCTCCTAAAGCGATAAAGTTCAAATCTGCC